AGGATGATGTATATATAGGTGTGTGTGTGTGTGTGTGTGTGTATGTGTGTGTGTGTGTGTGTGTGTGTGTGTGTGTGTGTGTGTGTGTGTGTGTCTTAGTGAATGAGCAAACAGGAATGTATATATCTCGGTGTATATATTTAAGCTTTTTAATTCCTGCATATACAATGAATTATGCATTTCGCCAGGTATATACACAGCTAGGTTTTTATATATCCCTTTGTATACATTCTGTATATATACGACAAAAAGTGTGCATATATGCAGGTGTCCCTAATAAGCTAAGTGGGCCAAGCAAGATGCACTGTATTGAGAATAATAAAATATAAGTACATAAGAACATAAGAAAGGAGGAACACTGCAGTAGGCCTGTTGGCCCATACTGGGCAGGTCCTTTACAAATCCAACCCACTAACAGAACATTTGTCCAACCCACTTTCAGTTCTACCCTAACAATAAGCTCTGACAATCTATTTACTCATGTGCAAATCCCACTCAAATCCAATCCATCTCATTCATATATTTATTCAACCTAAACTTGAAACTACCCAAGGTTTTGGCTTCAATCACCATACTAGGTAAACTGTTCCAATCATCAGCTAACCTATTTTCACACCAACTATGGAACACACACCAACCTTAGCTGTCTATATGTCTGTCTGTCTCTGTCTCTCTGACTGTCTTTGTCTCTGTCTCTCTGACTGTCTTTGCCTCTGTCTCTCTGACTGTCTTTGTCTCTCACTGTCTATGTCTCTCTGTATCTGTCTGTTTATTTGTCTGTCTGTATCTCTATCTCTTTCTGTCCTTTTTTTTGACTGCCTCTTTCTCTGCCTGTACCCTTTCTTTGCCTGTCTGCCTGTCTGTCTCTGTGTTTGTCTCTGTCTTTCTGTCCATCTCTCAACTCACCCATTTCTTTGCCTTCCCTGAAGTCCTCAGGACTCAGCGGGGGTCCGGGAATATCAGACTGCATCTGTAGTCAAAGCAGAGAGAAAACTTAAGGAAGGATTGTGGACTTAACACTTTCCGAGACATTAGCGACTGCTTTCCATTTGAGTGATTGGTTTAGTGATTACCACTACGTCTGGTTGGTAGATTGGCTAATGAAGGATGCGCTGTTGAATCATAAATACAATGTTTATTTATTGATTAGTGGAAATATACAGTTTACTGTACACCAGTGTCCTGACAATAAAAAAACAGGGCTACGATTACTGGACGGAGGATCGAGCCCCACTACTTGCTGTGCTGATTGGATCGGATTTGAATAATCAATTAAATTAGTAATTAATGGCCTTACTGATTTCTTAGTTAATGATATTTCTGTCTTCGTGACGGACACCTTGAGTAAGCCGGTAAATGGATGACTTTTACAATTTACTATTCTTTCTTTGATTGGCTAATCAGTGAGAATCTTCTTCGCTAATAAAACTTTTTTTTATTGATGAATTAAATAAAGTAATCGACTAATTATCTGCATTGACTAATTATCTGCACTGACTAATTATCTGCATCGACTAATTATCTGAATTAATTACTGCTTCACGTACGACACAATAAGCTAATCAGATGACCGGCAACACAGCCTTTTATCTGTTTATAATAATTAGCCTATCGTCTAAATTAACTTGATAATTAGTAAAGCGTCTAACTATCCCTCTGAGAATTTGATAATTTGTTCCCCAATAGCCATTACAATGAATTATCTAAATACCAGAATTTCTAATTATTGACCAACGAAATGATAAACTAGACTTCTCGGCCCATTGTTCTGTAAGGACCTAAACGTCTTCTAGCATATTCCTAATGTTTCAGGCTGAGATGATCTCACCGAGTCAGGGTTACCCAGAGGCAGGTTGGGAAACGTTGGGTCCAGTTGAGGGGCAGAGACCATGCCCTCCGCCAGAGGGTCAGATGCTCGGATGTCCACGCCCGCACACGCCCACGAACTTATCACCACGCCCGTCACCAACACCAACAGCATCTGTGGGTCCGGGAGATTGAAAGAAATTCCCGTGAGGATAAAAAAAGTCACTTTTCATTGTATTCAAGCGTATAATGATGGTGTTCTGAAGAAGTTAGATGACCCCAATTAAAATACGAATAGCATAAGCCTTTTATTTATACATTTAAATGATTCTGTTTGGGCTATTTGGTGTTTTCGCCTTAGTGAGGGAGAATGGAATAAAAAGGCACAATACAGTGACTGGAACAGAAGAGACTGACTAGTAAAGGTCCAGGACGGCCAGAAACATCCTCATGATTTTCGTCTATGTTATTTGTGTATTAGCGAGGAAGATGCCAGAGTACAGAACTAAATGTTCAGCACCCTGGAGTCTGTCAAGTCAGCTGGTGGAAGAACCAACTAGTTCTTATACTTAGTGTCTTGTGTCGAGGTTAAGTTAGGGTAACTAACATCAGTGGAACAACCAGTAATATGCTGAGGATTTAAGATGTCCAAATGTTGGCATTGTAACTATGTCTGGATGCATTGCTGAAGGGGGTATACTCGGAGGGTGTTCCGGGGGTCAACGCCCCCTCGGTCCGGTCCATGACCAGGCCTGTGTATTGTTTACCAATGTGTGCTGAAATGTGTGCTGAAATTCCTGCTTATAAGGGGTCGGCCTAGGAAAGGTTGGAGGGAGGGGTAAAGGAGGTTTTGTGTGCGAGGGGCTTGGACTTCCAGCAGGCATGCGTGAGCGTGTTTGATAGGAGTGAATGGAGACAAATGGTTTTTAATACTTGACGTGCTGTTGGAGTGTGAGCAAAGTAACATTTATGAAGGGGTTCAGGGAAACCGGCAGGCCGGACTTGAGTCCTGGAGATGGGAAGTACAGTGCCTGCACTCTGAAGGAGGGGTGTTAATGTTGCAGTTTAAAAACTGTAATGTAAAGCACCCTTCTGGCAAGACAGTGATGGAGTGAATGATGGTGAAAGTTTTTCTTTTTCGGGCCACCCTGCCTTGGTGGGAATCGGCCAGTGTGATAATAAAATAATAAAAAAAGGAGTAAATGAGAAAGATTATTTTCAGAATGGGAGGACGAGTGAGAAATATTACCAGGAAAATGGTAGCAGTTTTGAAGATGACGCTGGACCCGTGTCCTTCACACTTACATCAACATTGTGTCTTTTCTGCCGTAACTATCATGGTTCCCAACGTCAACTTAACACAGCATTTTGGAGCCGAAAATTCATCAGTCACATCAAGAAACTCGAAAGGATCCCAAGATTCCTGACAAAACTGCTACTTGACGGAGAGGTTGCACTCCGCGGGGAAGTTTAAGCACCTCCACATAACAACACTATTCAAACGTTAAGTTTTATTTCTAATATGCAGGTAGCTCTGTCTACTCCTGTCAGCGGCTTAATAAACTATCACTCTCAGGTATCTTGTCCACAAATCAGTGTTTTAAGTAATGCTCTTGTCTCAGATTACTGCGCTTACACACGAAGAGATTTGCGTTTAGACGAGACGAGAAGCATGTCAGACCACTGACCTCGTGTAGAGTTCGTGAATGATATAAATGGTTCAGAAATCCGACATGTTTACGAATGAGACACTTCTGCAACATCTGTGAATCTGCAATGAAGATTCCCAAATACTGTTTAAGTGTCTCATTCTTCAGAGTTCATGTGCATCACTCTCCTTAAAAACCCAGTCGTCCTCCTCTCATGTTTTCATAACTGTTTGCAGTCATAATAAGATCTGCGTGAGCAACTTGATGTAAACAGATGAAAGGCCACAAATCAGAGGTGTTACATACGTTAAGTCTTATGAGCGGTATACTGGCATCAGGTACAGGAAACCATTTATCACTACTGCAAGTCCAGCCTCTTCAGTCATCCGCGGGATGTGACCTAAAACACTGAGCCAACACTCATCTTAGGCAGCAAGTGTGAGGGTATTTGGTAATACGTCTCGCTCTACCCAGAGTTCGAACCTGGGACCTGTCTTTGTAGGTTATGTAAATATGAGTTTTGATTGCGTATGATTACTACGATAACATGTGAATTAACATACCGTTGGTAATAAATACGCAGGTATTTTCTACGATATTTCCTTAGAGGACTTTTATCAGCTCACGCACTAAGGTCTAGGGGTCGATCCCCGGTACGGGTGGCAACATTAGGACGTGTATCATTAAGACACCTATTGTCCATGTTCACCCATTAGTAAAATAGGTACCTGGGTGTTAGTCGACTGGTGTGGGTCGCATCCTGGGACAAAATTGACCTAATTTGCCCGAAATGCTCTGCATAACAAGGCGGCTTTATACGTAGTAGTATGTCACTGATGTCAGCTAGGCCTGTAGACCTTGTAAATGCACTTGTAGAAATAATGATGGTTATTATTATTATTATTATTATTATTATTATTATTATTATTATTATTATTATTAATATTATTATTATTATTATTATTATTATTATTATTATTATTATTATTATTATTATTATTATTATTATATTATTATTATTTATTATTACTGTTGTTATTATTATTGTTATTATTATTATTTTTGCTGTTGCAACTAATCTTGATTACGTGGAGAATATATGCTTCAATGTATCGTAACTTCTGTCTGAATGTATCGTAACTTCTACACGAACGTAGCATAACTTCTACATGAACGTAGCATAACTTCTACACGAACGTAGCATAACTTCTACACGAACGTAGCATAACTTCTACACGAACGTAGCATAACTTCTACACGAACGTAGCATAACTTCTACACGAACGTAGCATAACTTCTACAAGAACGTAGCATAACTTCTACACGAACGTAGCATAACTTCTACACGAACGTAGCATAACTTCTACACGAACGTAGCATAACTTCTACACGAACGTAGCATAACTTCTACACGAACGTAGCATAACTTCTACACGAACGTAGCATAACTTCTACACGAACGTAGCATAGTGATGTTTAATAAGTTAATTATCAAGGCTGGACACCACCATGGCTGTTGCAGTTAACATAAGAACATAAGAACATAAGAAAGGAGGAACACTGCAGGAGGCCTGCTGGCCCATACTAGGCAGGTCCTTTACAATTCATCCCACTAACAAGCATTTGCCCAACCCAATTTTCAATGCCACCCAAGAAATTAGCTCTGATGTGCAAGTCCCACTCAAATCCAACCCCTCCCACTCATGTACTTATCCAACCTAGATTTGAAACTACCCAAAGTCCCAGCCTCAATAACCCAACTAGGTAGACTGTTCCACTCATCAACTACCGTATTTCCAAACCAATACTTTCCTATGTCCTTTCTAAATCTAAACTTATCTAATTTAAATCCATTACTGCGGGTTCTCTCTTGGAGAGACATCCTCAATACCTTATTAATATCCCCTTTATTAATATCTATCTTCCACTTATACACTTCGATCAGGTCTCCCCTCATTCTTCGTCTAACAAGTGAATGTAACTTAAGAGTCTTCAATCTTTCTTCATAAGGAAGATTTCTAATGCTATGTATTAATTTAGTCATCCTACGCTGAATGTTTTCTAACGAATTTATGTCCATTTTGTAATACGGAGACCAGAACTGAGCTGCATAATCTAGGTGAGGCCTTACTAATGATGTATAAAGCTGCAGTATGACCTCTGGACTTCTGTTGCTTACACTTCTTGATATAAATCCCAGTAATCTATTTGCCTTATTACGTACGCTTAGGCATTGCTGTCTTGTGCAAAGAAAGGTATAAAATACCGACAATATGAAAGTTAAGACACATGTGCAACATCTGGATATCTTTATTGTAGTAGACGTTTCGCCATCCAGTGGCTTTATCAATACAGATTCTAGGACATAATAGGAAGACAGTAGAACTATATACAAAAGATGAGGTAATCAGTCCCTCGGCCTTGGAGTTAGTGTTCACAGCATCGTGGTGGAGGAGAGTCTGGAGCAAAGGCAAGAAGACTGGCGCTTTTTATAGGCGTCAGTGAATGGGACGGGCAGCAGACGAGGTCAGTCACTGGTAGGCGGGATTCCCCAGTGGAAGTAGGTCCTTCCCAAAGAGATGGGTTAGTTGCAGCAGCCTACTTCCACTGGGGAATCCCGCCTACCAGTGACTGACCTCGTCTGCTGCCCGTCCCATTCACTGACGCCTATAAAAAGCGCCAGTCTTCTTGCCTTTGCTCCAGACTCTCCTCCACCACGATGCTGTGAACACTAACTCCAAGGCCGAGGGACTGATTACCTCATCTTTTGTATATAGTTCTACTGTCTTCCTATTATGTCCTAGAATCTGTATTGATAAAGCCACTGGATGGCGAAACGTCTACTACAATAAAGATATCCAGATGTTGCACATGTGTCTTAACTTTCATTGCTGTCTTGGTTTAAGGTTGCTGCTCACCATAACCCCCAAGTCCTTTTCGCAATCTGTATGGCTAAGTTCTACATCATTTAACTTATAAGTACTAGGGTTATGGGCACTCCCAAGCTTCAGAACCTTGCATTTATCTATATTGAACTGCATCTGCCACTTTTCTGACCAAGAATAGAGTTTGTTTAAATCCTCCTGAAGTTCCATAACATCTACGTTTGAATCAATTATCCTACCTATCTTTGTGTCATCGGCGAATTTGCTCATATCACTAGTAATTCCCTCATCAAGATCATTGATATATATTATAAACAGCTACGGGCCCAAGACTGATCCCTGTGGAACGCCACTTGTTACAGATCCCCACTCGGATTTAACCCCATTTATGGACACTCTCTGCTTCCTGTCAGTGAGCCATGACTCGATCCACGAGAGCACTTTTCCCCCAATGCCATGAGCTGCCACTTTCTTTAACAGTCTATGGTGCGGAACTCTATCAAAAGCCTTACTAAAATCTAAGTAAATAATATCAAATTCTTTATTGTGGTCAACAGCCTCAAAAGCTTTACTGAAGTTAATAAATTAGTTAGACAAGACCGGCCTCTTGTGAATCCATGCTGAGTATCATTAATCAAGCT